CTTGTACTTATATATGGAAAATATGTGAATGAATTGCTAGCCAACCTACATTATGTTCAGTGAAAGAAGGTTTAGTAGAAAGCATTTTTTAAAATTGCTATACTACCTCAAGAAGTATTTAAGAAATTCACAAACTCAAAATGCACTTGGCACTGGCTGTGTAATTACGTGTAAGGCACGGTGCTATGCTCCAGGGATATAAAGATGATCAAAATTATGGTGCATGACCCCAGTAAGCTTATATCCAACAAGGAACTGGCCGATAAGCTGATAATTTCAATGTAATATCATTAGTGCTTTCATAAAGCTATGACGCACTGAGGCTGGGCTTTCAGACTAGCTGGGGTCAGCGATGGGGTAGAGGAAGTGGCGATGTTCTGGAAGGGCTTCAGAGAGGAAGTGCAATATGAAATGAGTCTCAAGCTAAGTTGTGCAACTCAACCAAAGAAGAAAAGCTTATTTGGACACAAGGGAAGTAAATGAAGAGATTAAAAAGAAGTAAGGGATGATATTGGTGAAAGAGGAAGACTGATTCAAATTATATTTTATCAGAAAGAAATTAAGTGATTTTAAGTAGAAGAGTATCATGGTGAGCTTAGTATTTTATCATAATCATTCTGGTAGAAAGGTAAAGAAAGGATTTAAACAGAGAAGGGAAAAATTAATGTGGTTATTGCCAGGAGTGTGAGAGAAATGAAATGGGCCAAATCTAGGACAGTGGTCATGGGGATGGAAGAAAGGAAAAGATTCCAGAAATATGTCCTATTGCTAGGTGGACATGGTATTTGAATTTGAGGGCATGCAGAGAAGTTTAGAATGGCTCTCAGATTCCTAGCTTAGGAAACGTTGGGTACATAATGGTTTCATTAACTCATATGGTAAAGGGAGGAACAAGCATTTTGGAATGTAAGAAGTCAGCATTTGTTTGGGGGAAGGAAAGAGGCAGGCAGGTGATGAGTCCATTTTAGGTATATTGAATGTGAGGCTTAGTAAGGTCACGCCTAACTTCACAGAACTTTACTGGGCACCCATCCCTTGTAATGAATGGATACAAAATGAAATCTGACCTAGTTTATGATCTCCCATATCTTACTTTTCTCTTCTCTTCTCTACTCCCAAGCTGCTCCTTTTTTTTCCTTCCCTATGAGAGAAATATATTGATACCAGAATCAGTATGTTTGACATGCTCAGGAAGAAGGATTGCGGAGGAGGAAGACAAAAAGGGGAAAATAATTAGGCTCTGGAGTCCAGCCTAAAAAAAGGCTCTTCTTGAACTATTTTAATATAAAGTCTTCTGGAATTGATTGTCTCTTTAGATTGATATGCTTGTTAACACGGCCAATAGGTATATGGAAATCCATTCTCTGTTAACTCAATGACTATTATGAAACTGTGAGCACAGGAGTACTTGACACATTTCTGTTGATTAGTTTATAGTGAGACAATTTAAAAGTTCATAAATATAATTATTAAGTATTAAGTATATATTAGAAGTTTCAAGTATTAAGTATATATTGGAAGTGTCAAGCTCTTTGGTTTTGCTTTTCCTGATATTTTAATTCTGGATTGGTGAAATTTCTAAGTAAATATTACCTTAGGGTTTTTTTTTAATTTCTTTTTATTGTGGTAAAATATATGTAACAGAAAATTGAACATTTTCACCATTCTTAAAGTATACAGCTTAATGACATTAAGTACATTTACTTTGCTGTGCACCCATCAACACTACTGATCTCCAGAACTTATATTACTTTGATTATTTAAAAAAAACATTTGATGTAAAAATCAAGACCCATTTATCACCTGCCTTTCCATTTTATATGCTCTACTTAAAGAAAAAAAGAACGTCTGCTGTGCTCTAACATTATATCTAAAGCAATTCCTTCAAAAATTAGATAACAGCTAATGGATATTTAAATTCAGCAAAGAATTTTAACATTCTATCAATTCTGATATTCTGTATGAAAAAACATTTCGTTATTCAATTGAAACAAACAACGCTCTTTGGCTAAACCATACCAACGTTATGAAGACTAAATGCTCTCTTCGTTTAAAGTGAAATTTAAAGTTCAGAACTCCATGTGGTTCTAGGAAAAGCAGAGTATGCCAGAATGTGAAATGACAATAATGAGCCATAGTCTAGTACAGCTCTTGGCCCACTATAGACTGGAATAAATGTTTTTAAAAGAATAAGAGAGTTTAAGGAGAGAAAATTAAATATAACTTATATAAAATTATTATTAATTTAACAATTGTAGAGATCATGATAATTAATAGGCAAAATAAATATCCTCTTACTAATTGAAAGGTAAGTTAACAAAAGTATCTTTAGAAGTGCTTGTGTAAAATAAGGTAAAAATTATTCTAAAATACTAGTTAGATTTTCATAAACATAGATTTTTTAAAGCTGGAGAAAGGCAGGAAGTGATTTACTGGAAGTCACACTCCCGCGGGGGTGTCACAAGGATGGCCCAGGGCCTTCACAGGTTGAGATCCATGGTGGGAGTAAGACTGTGGGGCCAGACTACTTGTGTTTTAATTTCTGCCCTGCCACTTTTCATCTGTGTAGAATCAGGCAAACTATTTGACCTTTTTCTGCTTCAGTTGCGTTATCCGTAGAGTGAAACTAATCATAGGGTTTTTGTGAAAATTAAATGTGTCAATACAGGACAAGTGTCTCAAACTGTACGTGGCACAAACTAAAAGCTTAATATATGTTAGAAATTATTATTACCATGAATCCTTCCGGATTTAAAACACGGAGGAAGGACGAAACTTCCTTTCCCCCTGAGAAGAATCCAAAAAATACAGAGTCCTTGTGGAAGGTGTTTGGTGTTTCACTGTTTTTCATTTATGATCTTATGAACCAAGCTGATGAAAACTGATCTTTCATTAAAGACAATACTGCTACTACCCCCACCACCATCATCCTGCGTCACAACCACCACCACCACCACCACCACTACCATCGCTACCACCACTTGTAGCAACAGTAGCAACACCTTCAACATTGGTGTGAGTATAAACGTGAACTTAGAAGTGTCATTGGGAGCGTGAAGAATAACAGACAAGATGCAAGTGCCTACATGCTGGTAAAGGGAGAACAGGAATTCTTTTAAGGGTATTTGGAACCAAGTACAAAGACAGCAGAAAACAGGAAGTAGTCAATCAACAGAGATTTTTTAAACAAGTCTGTTTTATGTTATTAGAGAATTAACAGATTCACAATCTTGGGGTTCAAAGTGGCTAAGAAGAATATACCAGGAATAAACAAAAGGTGATATTTATCTGCTGTACACAAAGAGGAAGCCAATAACTTTCGAGTAAAACCACTGGAAAGGTAAAATTAAAAGCTTCCTTTTACATGCTAAACTGCACTGTTTGGAATCTGTAGCTAAATATGTTTAAACTGGTAGTCAAGAGAAGGGGCCTTAGTCAAAGAGTCCTGGGTTTGAGTTCCATTTCTGCTACATATCTGACCTTGAGACAGTTATGGAACCTTCCAAAGGCTCTGTTTTCTCCATCTGGAAAATGATGAGATCCATTATTTAATGTTTATGTGACTATTTAATAAATACTAATACAATCTTATATGTCAACTATATCTCAACTTAAAAAAACAAAACAAAACAAAACAAAACTTACATGTAACACCCACACTTAGCACAGTGCTTATACCAGTCTAAGAGTAAGACCCCCCCACCGTCACTCCCTGACTGGCTGCCCTCCCTATCTTAACTATGCAGTAAACGCATCATCGTTCACATGTAAGAGCTAACCTGGATTCATCTCTTTCTCTCAGCCCCAAGGTAACTCAATAGCAAATTCTTCTTGTTCCATTCCAGAATGTAGCTCAAATCTATCCACTTCCCTGTCACCATCCATGCCCAAGCCCAGACTACTCTGATAGACTCTCTTCCAGCGGCTACTCAGTATAATCCATTCTCCACAAAGCAGCCAAGGTGAACTTTTAACATGTAAATGAGATGATGCTTAGAGGCTTCGAAAGCTTCCCATTGCACATAGAATCAAAAGCTAACCCTTTGCTATCATTTTTTTCTACATGATCGTCCCTGTCCGTCCTTTACTGTTCTACCCCTACCTCTAGAAACTTTGGTCACACCACCCTCCTTATGGTTTCTTTAACATAGTGAGCTTTTAACTCTTCTTTCATAGAGGTCTCCTAGACCCACTTATCTAAAGTAGCGTCCCCCATACTGCACCCAAATCCTCACCATTTCACCTTATTTTTTTTCATAACTCTCATAGTCTGAAGTTATACTTACGATGCATCTGTTTGTTTATATTTATCTATGTAATCTCTTATCCAAAAAGAAGTTCCTTGGAACCAATTATATTACTGATCATGTTCTATTACCTGTTCTATTCTTGATTATGATGTATATTACTGATCTTGTTTCTATTGTTGGTGCCAAGAGCAGCGCCTAGCATATGTTTGAAATATAATAAAATATTCACTATACAAATGGAAATTGGAATTTTGAGGGGTCTAAATATTTGACTTAAATAATATTTCCTTCTGGAGAGAACAGCGATAGGGGGAGTTTTCTACAGAGAAGGATGCCCTCAACTCCCCAAGTAGAGGTAAAAGAACAGATGGGTAATAATTCGGGGAGACTTATGTCTGAAGGCCCCATAAATAATTTTCTCATAAGGTGTTCTGAAACAAGTACAAGAAAGATTTTTAAAGTTTCATTAATTTCGTTTAGTCCCAGAGTTTATAACTGATCTATGGTATCTAAAAGCTTAGACTAACACAAACATTCAAAAGTTAAATCATTGCCAAGGGCATATAATGCCCCAAACCTGAATGCAATAGCTCTGTCACAACAATAATAAAAAGAAAAAGGTACTTGGTGATAGATCAAAAGCTTAGATATTGTGGTTATTTATTTAGGGTATGTGATTAGTTATACAAGTACATGGTATCTGGAAAGCAAAAATGAAGCAACATAGCCTTTCAACTACTCTGTACTCACTGTGCATGGGGTCTGCATCCATGGTTCCCCGTCGATCTGCATTGGCAGAGACTTGCTAGTCCTGGGGGAAAATATTTCATTTTAAGTATAACACTGAAATACTTTACACAACAGACTACATGTAAGATGTAAGATGATGAGACCAGGGAATGCAAATATGGTAAGAGCTGGCCTTAAATTGATCTCTTCTGAAAGGGACTTCAATTCTTGACTATTAATAAGTACCTGAAAGGTACCTTGGTCACAGGAATATTAAGAGCTTCCTGGTAAATGTGATAATATGAAAAAATTATAGATGTCAAAAGAAAAATGTAGGGCTTATGGTGTTTTCAAATTTTTTATTATTTTTATTTTTATTTATTTTGGGGGGGTTATGTTTAATGATATAATCAGAATTCCTATAGCCAAAAAAGCCTCCTTGTTTTCATCAAAACCTACGCAGCAAACCTGAAGGAAAGGTGTTTGATGTCTCAGATTTTCCAGTATTAACATTTTCACACAAATAACACCAACTATAACTGTGCTATCACCCACGGTTTCACTGTACGGTCAAAGTAGACTTTTTTTCCCTAAAGGTAAAATTCTGGAAAAATGTTTCTTAAAAAGGTTTAAATTTAATACACATAAAAAAATCTTACTTTACAATAAAGTAATTACTTAATTTTATAGAAACAACGGTGTACTTTAGTCCATGAAAGAAGTTAACGGTGCCTCAACAGTGTTTTCATTGGGCAATGTACCCGGTAGATCCTTTCATGCTTCAGGAAACTAAACTGTGTGGGAACCATTTGAAAGGGGTTGAAGTTTGTATGTTAGAATTGTATCCAGGGTCTGAACAAGAGAACATCAAATTTCAATCAACCTGATAAGTAATAGCTAACCAAAACTTTGTAAAATCTGCCAATTTCCATTATGTGGAAATATATCAGTATTAGTTACTGATAATTTGAGGCACAAATTAGACTAATGTTGTTATCTGAGCCCTGCATACTTTTAATTAGGTTGTACTTATACCATGTCAACCCCCTTTCTCAGTTATAAAGAAACAACTACCTGACGACCACAGAAGAACACTGCGCCAGCCGCCGCCCAGCACTTTTCAGTCCTGTGTAGATTTGTCCCATCTCCATGGCTCCTTCCAAGCCAACCACCTCCAGCAGCTGATCACTTAGATCTGAAAGAAAACAGAAGCCTTGTCAGTTACAGTGGAGATCCATATGTGCACAATTTAATGCCATTAGATATTATGAAGATGAAAAATGAAAGCCACTTGACAAAGAAAGCTTGTCTTGGATTCTGAAAGATGGCCTACGTCTAAAGCTCTCAGTTTAACTAAACCTCGCAGTGCTGTGGGAAAAGATCTGCTGTCAACTTGATCTAAAACAAAATAGGAAGAATGAATTCGGAGCCAAATAATGCCAAAAAATATACCAGTAGTTTTTAACATCAACAAACCTAATGTTATTCCACATGTATATATGGAACGTTTATACATTTGGCAGCAAATACACACTTCAACACTATAAATAAAGTATGAGGATATGCTGTCAAACATGATTTTGTTAAATTACTTGAACAAAAGACCCTAGCGCTCATGGAATTACAGTTTCTCATTTTAGAGGTAAGAAGATTGAGTCTCTAAATCATCAGGTGACTTGTCCATAGTCATAGGTAACTTTGTGCAGAAGTTCAAGAAACAGTATTAGTTTCTTGAAATGTTTTTCTGATGATAAGAAGTATGTTACTAAAATACTATTTGGGAACCACCTAGAAAATTAGCACAGTGCAATTGTTTTTTCTAACAGAGGGCAGTAGAAAGAGGCTAATAGTAGTAGCTTTTGCTTGATGAATGTTTAATAAGTAGTGCCTGTCACTGGACTAATCACTTTATTACCTCATTTGCTTCCCTTTAAAACCAACTGAAGGTAAATTGATCATTCCCTTTTATAGACAGGGAAACTGAACACTAGAGAAGTTAACTAATTTATTCATATTAACATACCTAGGAAGTCACAGAGCCAAAATTTGAACCCAGTGACTTAGACGCATAACCGCTATGTTATATTTGATAAATCAACCATAGAAGAAAAAGAGATGTAAAAATTATATAAATGCTTCTTATATAGAGAAAGAGCCTGGATTGGGTGAGCTTCAAGGTCCCTTCCCAACCTGAAGACTTCTGCTCAGCCAGAGGTAGAGGCTGCACTCACATCAGAGGAATCCCACAGAGCCCAGCCCTAAAACAAAGCCCCTATACAGCTTACCTATTTAGCTCAGAGTACGTGGACCCTTGAGAGAGAGGCAAAATTCTAGGTTCATATATATGGCCCTTTTATATTTTAGTATTCTCATGTATTCCCATGTATTTTCAAATGCAAATAAACTGTTTAATATTATTTTAGTAGCAGAAAAACCTGGTGATTTTAGCACAGAGCGGGAGGGCATGATGATTTTACCAGATAATAACATAATAGCTGGTCATAGCTGAGGCTGGACTTGCAGAAAAACAAGTGTGTTTTATATGGGCTCCATTTTGTATGGAAAACCTTCATTCCCCACTAATGAATCCATTTTAGCATGGAGCTCACAAATGTAGAAGATGCATTTTTAGTGTAGTTCAAGTATATGGCAAATAAGCATTCTGAAATCTCAAAGTTTGTTAGGCTCATGATCATTGGCTAATACAAGCCCTTAAAGCTGAAAGTGTGACCAAGCCATTGTCTTTTTTTAGATGAACTGATAAAAAAAAACAATTATTATTTTTTTTAAACTTGAAGCATGAGATTTCTCAACACAACATTCTAGCTACAAAATCAAATGTTAACAAGTCATAATAACTTAGAGCATTCACCTTGCTGTTCTAAACCCTATTTAGACTTATTTCTCATGAAACTTATTCTGTGTTTCTAGTTTAAATTTATGTTGCCAAGAACAGATGGACAAGGAATGGAAACATATTCTTTCAGCTGTAGCCCGCACGAAAATGTACTTGGCTCTATAGCCTGGGTGTTAATATACGCATTTCTTAGATATATGTCAACCAGAAAACTACACTGTGGCAAGCACTAAAACCCCAGATGTGTGTCTGGTGATATTTATAAAACAACAACAACAACAACATTGAAGTTCACATGAAGTATTACATATTTTGCAACTCCCTGATTCCTAAATAGGAATTTTGTGCTAATCTTGTAATGATCTGGTTGATGGGAACTATTCTACAAGAAATAAAACACTTTCTCATGACAGTTAATCTGTGAGCCCTAACTTTTCCGTGAATCACAGGGATTGTCTATACCCACACCATATTGCTGCTGTCTACCACCCTCCTTCTGATTTTTTTCTTTCTTTTAATTTGTCTTTGTTTTTCTCCCTGCAAAAAATGCCCTGAAAATCAATCTCTACCATTAATAATCAGTAATGAAGATATTTCTTACAGATTTAGAAGACAGGCTTTCAAATCTTCATGTTCTTGATAAGACAAAGAACTGCATAGAAATAGTGGAATATTTACTAACTCCAGTAAAGGTAAATTAATACCATATGCTTTTAATTAGGTGTTCAGAAAAAAAAATTAAAAAGAAACCCTAAATTTGTGCTGCACAAATTTGCTTCCATAACATTTCAACATTTTTTAATAGCCTGCACTGTCTATGTAAAATTGAGGCTTCTTACATATTGCCTCTGAGAGCTGGATCTTGATTGATTTCAGACAAAGATAGTTTCCATCTATATAATTTCGAATTTTGTTTCTATATGTAGTATCATCTAAAAACATCAAAGACTTTCTCACTTCATATTCTAGCTAAAATTATTTTACATGCAGGTCCCACTGGGATGTCAAAACCAATCCAAAGAACCTGCTTAATTGGTTTGCTACCTGGCTACAGATTTCACACATAAGAATTGAAGCAGCAAACTACAGCCCACGGACCAAGTCTGGCTGGCTGCTTGTTTTTGTATGGGTTGCTAGTTAAGAATGGTTTTTACACATTTACAAAGTGGAAAGAATTTAAAAAGAACAATAGACTGTAACATCTGAAGGTTCTATAAAATTAAATTTTAGTGTTCATAGTTTCGTTTTGATGGGAGCACAGCCACACTCTTTCATTCGTTTTGTCTATGTCTGCTTTTATACTACAATGGTGGAGTGGTTGCAACAAAGCCCACAGAGCCTAAGACATACACTATCTGGACCTTTAGAGAAAAGTGCCAACCTCTGCTTAAGAGAAACAATTAATTAGGCCATTGAAATTTTCACTTTAGTACTGTCACTATAAATGCAAAATGGCGTCATAGTGACCTGAAAGGCATAACATCCTTCCTTCATCAGTGGATATATCCTTGAGTAAAACAGTTGTTCTCAACCATAGAATCTCACCACCTTTGTATACTGTGAAGTTCCTCATCAGAAAATTTGTTGTTAATCATGAAGTACTGTAGTTTCCAAATAACTTTATTATAAAATAAATGAGCAGCTTAATGTTCAACATTATGTGCAGTCATTGCATCCAGATCGGACTTTTTGAATGTGAAGGAAAAAAAAATAATAGTAATACACAGGAATGCACAAATTGTGACCAGACGTGTAGATTCAGGTCAGTATTAGCTCCACCTGTGAGAGTACAGAGTATTGAGACCTCCTGACATCCTGGTAATCAGAAGGGTGCATCTATCCTGAGGAAGAGATTGCTTTTGTTCAGGGGAAAAACAGTACATTTTTGAAAGAGTTAACATGTCTTTCCAAATAGTTCTATAGAGGTAATAGAGGCGAGAGAATCTGCCAAATTTGATATTTTCATATTTAAAATAGAAAGTCCAGAACAGGTACTTCAGAGGGAAGAAACTTAATGAAATAACCCAAGTTGAGTCATATTAGGGCAATATTTTTAACACAGGGTCAGTGACTCTTCAACAGTATTTCAATATAATTGGTGTCCTTCGTTACCCTATATATTTTATTTTTATGAATTTTAAAACATGCTCTGAAGAGTTAGTAGATTTCATCAGACTACAGCACAAATATGATAAGAAACACTACTTAAAAATTTAATTTGCCTTTGATTTTATAAATCATTTTCTAAACATTGTTAGTACTGTATCATTTTGTTACACAGGCAATCAGAGGGTATGAATGTAAAACCTGAAAGTAAGGGGTGAGGTATAGATTCGAGGACACAGGAGCAGCACAGCTAATAAGTGGGTAATATTTATTCACAGCTCCGTCTCTTCATTTTTGACAGTTATGCCCTGATAGTATGTCTCATTATGTAATTGTTTCAGACTGCCATATGTGAAGGAACAGAAGAGGATGCATTACAAACACAGACTGAATGTGGGTTGTCGCATTTTAGCATTTCGTAGAATATAATGTGTGCTGAAGTGAGGGGAAGGGGGGGCAGGGCAGGGCATACTCCTTTCTACATGGTATCCAGCCACATGCTGTAATGTGGTGGGAGGCCATGTCCTGGGGTACACTCAGTGACTCAACAGGGACATTTTGTAATCACCATAAACTGCTAATTATATCAACATCTATTAAGTCCTTATTTGGCCAGGGCGAGTCCAGGATATCTATGGAGTTGTACCTCCTGAGTGTGAATAGATTGTATGCTTTCTAGTGATGCTTCATTTATCTAGCATCTATAAGAGACATGCCTGAAGATTCCAGAATGAACTTTTTAAAAGCCAATGTATATATGAAATCCATTCACCTAAGTGAATGCTTTGAGGATTTTTCCTTAATATGTCCATCTATTGTCCCATCAATTATTTAGATGGCTCCTCACATGCATACATGGCTGTTTTCCCTGACCTCCATAAATTAGAAAATGCAAAGAAGAAAAGGGGGTGATTAGAGAGAACTAAAGCAACAGTTTATTAATATGGACTTCATTTCACATCACAGTATGTAAGCATTAAAGAAGACTTTCAGCACCTAAGGTGATAACCCATGCAATTATAGGTCTATCAGGGAAATGAGGAGAGTTAATATATATATACTCTATGCCCAATATATATATACTCTATGCTCTCCTTAGGAATTTACAGGCATTTTTTCATTTAAGACTCCCAACAATCCTTAGAAGCTGATATTATTCTCTTCATTTTATTGATGAGAAATCAATGTTACTTGTCCAAGTCTTTACAAATCTGGTTTTTGAACTAGGTATA